CGCCGCTCCAAAATTTTTATGAAATGAATTGGAAAGTTAGCCAGTCAAAGTTTTGTTCGAATGCAAAATTACGTTTTCGAAGCGAAAAACAGGAAATTTAGGGTTCCACCGCCCCATAATATTTTCCAGATGACTTGTTTTTCAGAAAGATCCGTGAAATTAAAAAAAAACAGCATCAATTTTTATCAGTTAAAAACTAAATTTTTTAAAACTGACATAGGTTGAATAATAAAATTGCTTAAGCTTAAGTTTTTTTCTGGGCCTCAATTTTTGCCTCAGACTCTTGGGCGGCAAGTGATAACAGTCCCCGGAAGTTTAATTGGCCCTATCAGAACTCGGAAACTAGTGGCGGTTTTGGGCTCAAATTTCCTTATGTTGTAGGCCTAGTTGAGGGAAGCTCAAGTTTGGAACCCCAGACCCCTAGGAACCCCACTTCCGGTTTTATGCTCTAAGTAAACAAACCCACCCCTAACTTCCGGAAGTCGTTTCTCGGCTTCCAATGATCACAGGGAGCTGAAACTTAGAGGGCATACTCAAGGGTGACTGGTTCGTGCGTTGTTAAATTTATGGTGGGGCTGCCTTCCGTTAGTAACGGGTTGTTGTTCATGTTGAGGTTGAATTTCCGGCACAATTTTTCCTTAGTGCTAAAACTAAGGTGCCTCATCGGTCCGTCGTCGATCATGATCGGACGAAGAACTTGGCTACAGTTGAAAGCATCGCTGACGACGCGACAATGGGTTCTTAGCGACTAAGTAAAATCTCGAGAATGCGATTCGCTCGAGACGTAACAAGCCACCCTGGTGCTCTAATTCATTTTCGTGCAAATCTTGCAGGGTGGAGGCAGCGTTTCCGTCATGTAACGCTACCTTCCCGAAACGATAGTGTTAGATTACAAAGGAAAAAGGATAAGGCCTTGGGTCGGAATGCATAACTGCCTTTTCGGGGTAAATGACGGAGCATGGCTTTACGGTCGTTAGACCCGGCCCCAATTTTAGCTACAATTTTTGATTACTCGGATTATTTCATCTTAAAGTAATGTCGGTTTGCACACAGTTTTACAAGTCAAAATTCAAGTACGTGTAGTTAAAGTGGTTTTTCGATAAGATAAGGAGATTGGCAAACAATGAGTCACGGTTAAAATAAATAAAGTTTGGCAGAAAATGTCACCACTATGCCAGAAAAAAAAATTGAAAAAATCGGCGAACCCCCCCCCCCCCAAAAAAAAAATCGGAACTAAGAAAATTAATGTTATGAAATTCAGAGGAGCGATACTAGAGATGATTTGACACGGGCCCACGAAAAACGGGACCCCTCAGATAATTGGGGGGCAAGTGATAATGGTCCCCGGATGTGTAAATGGCCCTATCAGCTATCAGAACTCGGAAACTAGCGGCGGTATTAGGCTCAAATTTTCGTGTGTTGTAGGCCTAGTTGAGGGAAGCTTAAGTTTGGAACCCGTTTTTATGCCCTAAGTAAACAAACGCACCCCTAACTTCCGGAAGTCGTTTCTCGGCCTCCAATGATCACAGTGAGCTAAAACTTGAAGGGATGATAGGTAATGGTAAGATACATCTTCTGTTACAGTTTTAACATTTTCCAACGGGTGGATCGGTTTATATTAGCACTTGAAAAACTCCCCCTTAGACCGGAAATAGGCAATTAACGCAATATAATGAGCGGTGCCATAATGATTTCATTGCAGCAATCGACCTAAGATACGAACCGTGAAAAAAGACACCCTGTGAGTGAAAACCCTCCGGCGACTCCTTCCGGTGTTAATAGCCTTTTCCGGAAAAAGTGATAATGGACCATAGAAATGGGATAACTAGTGAAGTTTTAATGGGATATGGATAGAAATTGATATTTAGGAGCCCCATGGGATTCTGAACCCAAATATAGAAGTTTGACCCCGGTTGACCCCTGGATGACCTTTGGGCGTCTTGACCCCAAATTTGCATAGAAAACCCCGAGATTAACACCGGAAAGTGGCGTATTCCCCAGCCCAACCCGTGGAAATGAGAATGTGTCGCCAGGCTGAAAAAAATTGGGTGGAAACTTTTGAAATTGGGAACTACAGCAGAAGTGGAATTGGTAAACATTGGGGTCAGTTTAGCTTGGCGAATGATCTATAAATACCAATTCAACTAGACCAAAGAAAAGTAGTCTCAGAGGAAATTGATAGTAATAGAACCGCAATATGAGAATTAAGTCTCCTAAATAGTATGAACGGACGGGGGAAATTACTTGGCTTCCCGGAGGTGACTTGTCGGTTTGATTTGACCCCTAATAGATGAACTATGTTCCCCTGATAGCTAGGTGGTCTGAACTGGAATAAAGTACAGGTAGAATATTTAGATGCTTGGAATGATTTAGCTACCCATGAAAAGGGTCTCCCCCACCCTTGGGAGGTCGGAACGTTTACGGGATAATTGAAATAAAGACCTTGGGAGGGTCAATGAGTAAACATAGCCTGGTTTGTAGGTTGAGTTGAACTTGAGGGCTGAAGTCAGAGGTCAGGAATTAGCTGATTAGAATCGTGTGACATTTGTTTGCTTGGTCAAATTGTGACATCTACCGTATACCGGGTATCTAATAATCGTGAAACGTTTGATAAAAGAAACCGAACTTGGCACATGTTGACAGGGGGAGGGATTTAGTCTTAAAACATGTGCGGACGGGTGATTTAAGCGGATGTCAGGACTGATAGGGAATGGCGTGACTTAACTAAAACTAAGTGTAAAGAAAGATAAGGAATTGGAGGGTACCGTAGAGCCTGTAAGAATTAGAACAATTATTGCTAGCGAATCGAGTAGTTTGTTCTCGGAGAAAGAAAACAATTATAGCAGAAACTGTAGATAGTTGGTTCTCATCAGAGAATCTCTAGAGAGAGAAAATAGTTTAGTGTTAGTGAAATTAGTGGAAGTTAACTTGCAATCAAGCAATTGCGCTAAAAAATTGCAGACCGTTTCCCTTCGGTTAGACTGATAGGTTATATCGTGGCCATTCAGAACCTTCTGTAATTAGACGTATGTTCATTTGAAGTAATTTACAATTGGATATCATTGCCGTTGTATTGACAAGTCAGCCCAAGAGCAATACACAGAAGGGGCAAGCAACAGAGCAGTACAGAGTAGTTGCCACCAAATTAAAACTTTCGGGATTGTAGATAGTAGTGAACCTCGGTCGCCCCGCTGAGTTCGCTGACAAAGGAACCACTTGAGAAGAAATCTCCTAAAATCTACATGTGATAAGCTTTTTTTTGTGTAGAGATTATGTTGAATCTTATAACGCTCAGAAGCAGACTGGTGTTTTGCATTTAATTCTGCTGTTTAAGACAAAGGAATGAAACAGTCAGCCATAAAGAATCCAAATTGAATTTTTAATTTGTTTGAAAATCACTTTGAAAGTCCTTGATCAATATCAATGTCTTTCCCCTGCTTACAAAGTTGAAAAAATGAACTATTTTGATATTTTTTAGACAACTGAATACTTGAATTAAAGGTTGAAAGGCAATGAAAAGTTACATGAAAGGCATATTTATTTTTTGATGGTGTGAACGAATTTAGTCCGAAATTTTGTCCGATCTCAACCGTAAATAAACACCAAGGAACTAAAGCCTCTTGGTAAGAAAGTTGCACTACTAAACCATGCTTGAGACGACAAAGGTTTGAATTCGAATTTCTCTGGGACCTGTTTTTTTGCTAACTATATGTTTTGTTTTTTCAGGTTTGTTTCTGCTTTGTTCTCGCCGCTATTTTTTTGAAAGCTCAGCGATTATTCGAATGTTCCAAAAGCCATTCCTAAAATTGCTAATTGGAGATAAAGATGGTTATTTTGCAATATTTGTTGTCAAAGTTAAGGTGAATTGTTTTAGTATTCAATTTGTCGAATCATCTGCATTCTTGTATCACAATGCGAATAATAATATCTGATAGCTGCACATTGGCATTTGAACAATGGGACTTGACTGTTAATTAGAAAACGCTGAGCTTATTTATTAGCTAAACGTTTTTTTTTTCATTTTCTTTTAATGCAAATAGCAAGTCTGATTTTTGATGTAATTATGGTCCTTTCTCTTCATTTTACCGGTGAAATCACAAGACATCACGCGATAACTTCTATCTGATTAAGTTTGCTGATTGAGCAATTTCCACAAATGTTTTCTGTGTTCCTAAATGCACAATGAATTATGTACTTTTCTTATTACTCTTGCTCGCTTGTGTACCTTTTCCGCCATCATGCAAACCTCCTGCTTCTAAAGCTCTTTTGCCTTGATAACGATCTTCACTTTCATGAAATGTCATATCTCAATGTCGAAATGCTTCCAGTATCTCGCCACATTTTACCTGTCCTTAGTTTGTGACCTCTATTTACTTTGATATTTTTGTTTAAAAATATTAAACTGTGTAAGATAACATTTTCAAAACTACTTTAATTTTGTTCGAATTTCTTTGATTAATACGGAAATGCAATACTCTATTTAAAACGTGAATGATTCAAAATATAATTTTCCTAATTCGTCCTCGCTGTTTTTTTGGTATAATTATTTTGAGCTAGAATGGACAACTAAAATTAAATTTACGCAAATAATTTGTCATCAGTCAACTAGGTTGTGAAATTTGGATAGTTGAATTCAATCGTAAATTCTAGGCAGCGAGAACGGTCGAAAGGTGTGTTTTTTATCATAATCAATTGATAAATTTTATTTAAAAATTTAAACCAATCCATTCGCTTTATTATTTTGCTGTTACTTTATTAATTAAAGAGTAAAATGATTTCCTCATTATTTTCAATCAAGGAAAGAACCGCGTTAGAAAGAAGTAGAATACAAAGGAAATTTATCAAGTCGGAAATTCGTAGCAGCTCTAGTTAACAGAACTTTTTAAGGCTGACATTGATAGTCGCAAAATTGTCAAAAAAAATTAAAAACATGAAAGCGGAATATTTTGTGGTGTTTTATGATGATTTATTGCTGATAAACCTATTCCATTGCTTGATGGTTGTTGGTGATATGTTTTTCAGTTAACAAATTATGACATCTCCTTCATTGCGGAACACCCAAACACATCTCTCAGTCGAATCGGTCGGTGACTTCTCACTGTCAATCAAGCGAATCGCAGACTTTGTTGAGAGCTCTTACGCTGAAAACTACAACTGTTCACTCTTTGACGAAGACTCAGTCTGGGGAGTGCTGCTAGCCGAATGCCATGTGCCGAATACTCTGAGTGCGCGAAAGGCGTGCTACGCGAGTTATGTGGCTCATTTGCAGCAGATGGTGTCGATTGCGGAGAGGTGTTACCCCTTTGTCCCTTCTAAGAAGCCAATTCAAGATGACATGGCGCATCCCATACCACGTTAGTTTGTTGTTGAAAATCAGTTTGAATTTGAACTGTAATGTAGAAGTTATTGTTATTGTGGCTCGAATGGCTCTTAATCGAATTTTCGTATTTTTTAACTGCATGGATCGTGATAATTTGCCGTCTCGTGTTTGTCCAGAAAAGTTTAAACTTTCATTTGGTGACGCTAAGTTTTATGTCGAGAACTTCTTACGACGCTTGTATTTCTTATCTGCAGGAAGAAGGATAAATCTTATTTGAGGCCTGGTGTTGTCTTATATATAGAAAGTAAGCCGCGAATCTAGGATTTTTTCATAGGAGGCTTTGGGGTGCTCTTTCAATAAGAAAAGATTTTTTTTTATTTTTGTTTTCGGTCAAATTGATTTTCCGAGATCTCCCAAAACACCGTGAACACCCTATTTTGCGAACATTCTCTGCACTGTAAGCAAATTTTTAAACAATTGCAGTAAATAGCGCTATTGGCCTGATCGGCTGTCAAGGAGACGAGTCACTAAGGGTGACCCTTCCTAAATCCGAACGAGTTGATAGGCACTAAAGTGTTTCCTAAGTGTTCCAAAATATGTCGTTTCTCTTGCCCATTCCAAATTTCTCAACATTGTGCGTGATATATTCTACAAATTTTCTACAAATTTTCAGACATTTCGGATCAAATCAACATCATTTTCTTCCTCAAAGGAGGTTTAGAGAGAGGGTGTTATCATGGTTCTTAGTTCGAATTTTTAGCTAGCAAGTATTAAGTGTTTTTCTTACACCGCTGAGTAATTTAAACCAAATGTAATAAAAAGGGTGCAAGATGTTTATTTGGTCTATTTTGGAATGTTTACTTTATTCTTGATAACTTTATTTTACTTTATTAACGGACCATATGGTTGAATGATGTTCCCTCAGGCTTGAGATTGGGTTATAAATGTATATAAAAGTTTTTTTTCTTGTAAGTCTGAAAACAATGACTATGATTATTATGTGTTATTGATAATTTTTTTTCTAGCCAAGTGTGGCTGCCGATACATTCCAGCTGGACTTGAGGACAAATGTAAACGAGTAGGAGGTCACACTCACTGTCCCACCTGCAGGTTAGTTGTGCCATACAGCATAGGCCACTGGCAGCACCACGTGATAGACATTTGCACCATTCCGAGGGAGGAACACATGCTGCTGAATCTGAGGCCGAACAGTGTTTTCGATGTGTCCTCAAGTGGAAGTGTCATTCCCAATTCAAACTCGAACACCACCACACAGCACAAGTTGTATGTTAGTAAATAGCTCCACGATATAATTTTGAACATTTGCTTTATACCAGTTCCACACCAAACATACTTGACCCAATAGACCAAATACACTTGAAACAAGTTTGTGACTACGTGTTTTCTTTTTTAAGTAGACTAAATAACGGAATGTTTTATGTAATAAAAATGATGTTAGAAAGCAGTAGGGGAATAAAATATGCGTTTAGATGAGTTATGCGTGTATATAAATTATACTGTCGTAGATGAAATGCTACAAAATGCCGCCGTCTTTGTATCTGAGAAAATGATTAAACGCTAAAGAATGCGTAATGATTATCAGTCTATTTGTTGCCGTAGGTGTGCTTTGCGTGTACGAAGTTGTTCCGTGACTCGAGTAGACTGAAGAGACACTTTATGTTGAACCACTCGATGGAGAGTAACATTGACTTCAAAGTGGCCCACCAGATAGATCCCATACGAGGTCTGTTTGCCGTCATCAATTACGGAGACTTCTCTGCACAGGTATGTTTTTGTCAAATTGAACAGTGGTATAATGGCGTCATTCATGAATTTTCCGTGATATTTTTCACCCGTTTCAATGATTTCAAGACAAAATCGAACAGAACAGACAAGTAGCTCAAAGTATTGCGATGATAGTATAGTTATCATTGCAAAAAGCAGATGAAAAAAGAAGAAACAAGATCACGAATGATACTAGATGAATTGTATGTATAATAAATGAACTTTTTCAAGCAAATTAACTTTTGGGGTTAGCAAGCCTTATCAAACGGGAACATAGAGTTTTTCCAGGTAAACATCTTGTCTAATAACTTGGCAGATTATCGAATTGTTTTCACAGGCAAACAATTTGTCTGAATCATCTGATAGCTTGGTCATGTTCGATTAAATTTTGGGTTGATGCTTTATGATTAGTTTGGAAAAAACTCCATGCTTAAGCTTTCCAGACCTGTTTTTTAATAACTGATGTTTTTCCTCTGGAAAAAATAATAGCAGTTGGACTAGCCTATGTCTGTTTACGTTGCCGGCTTACTTTCCACAGCACGGAATCTGTTTATCTGAATTAGTGGTCAATAAAACTAACATTTTTAAATGTATTAATGTAATGGTGCAGATAACGGTTCACAAAATATTTGCAGAATTTGTTTTTTTACGCTAGCGAGCAGATAGTGTTTTAGTATGAAACTTCTTCTTTTTTCTAACCTAACTCGCAAGTGTAAGTTTTCATAAAAAGTGTTCACTTGTGTGGCTTTTTGTTTTTGCTATAATCACGATCTGTAGCATTGGAAATTTCATAGCATCTGTTCTCGGCTTTATTTGTGGCTAGTGTTCGGTTTGAACTAAGCGTACGTGGCTAGTGCGTGAGATTCATAATTTCTAGGTCGTAGGGGCGAGTCCGAGACGTCGCCGAAGTTTTACTAATTCGAGGCTTGTTTTTACTTTCTCATTACGCTTTAAAGAGCTGCTTTTTGTCGTGTTTCGCTAGTGTTTGCGAAGCGCTGCTTCGCCTCTGTGTATAAATTTTGTTGAAGTTTTTTGTCTGTTCATTTTACTCTTACTTAAACGAAAGCATTGAATGGAGCATTCTTACTTAAACGAAAGCATTGAATGGACCATTGTCTTTACACAGGGGAGCTAGCCAGCATAATGTTATTTTCCGAATCCACCTTTTTTTTATCGAAACTCTCAAATAAAAGTGCTCATTTGACCTTCGTGAGAGACTATAGCCGATTTCCTGGTGGGTGATTAAATTTCGTCTTATAGCAAAGTTTCTTTGCAGTCTTTTTTACCTCTTCTTTCCTTCATTACTTGAAACATTTTTGGAACCACTTTTTGCATACGAAAAATTTCCGGCCGGCTTCAGAAAATTTCTGGATGCCATTCGATCCCACTGTCGTAATTTTTGTGTTTTTGACGTTATTAATTGTTTCAATTTGGGATTTGCAAAATTTGATATGCGAATGTGTTTCATGAATTTTTTGTTTATCGACATCCAGCTTTTAGGGAATAGTTTAGGCTATACTCGCTTTATTTTCCCTCTAGCCTGGTATCATACAATGTAATAGCCCACCCCCTCAGATTAAGTTTATTACCGTGGAGATGCTCAAGTTTGCTGAGGGGCTTAAATAGGAGAAAGGACTTTACTTTAAATTTCTTTTGGATTTCAACTTTTTTTGGGGGGGGGGGGGGGGGGGGAGGAGGGGAGGGGATCGTAAAGTAATATCATAGAAGTTTATAATATCACCTTTTATCTCAAATTCAAGTTGTTCTATTGATGACCTTATTGTTTTGGTGTCTGCTAACAATTTGCCCAAGACTAAAAGGCATTTATAACGGTGAGATTGTGAGAGCAAAGGTTTGATCTGAAAAGGAAAAACAAAGCCTGATTGCAAACAAAGTTTATCTGTCTGTTGGTATTTCTCCTTCTCAATGCTAATTCATTTTATTTCAAGCAAGTTGATTTTATGAAGACTCATAGTTCGATCGCATTAAAACGAAACTGCATAATTACACTTTAAAGTGCTGAAATTTATCCCCCGTAAAGCAATAAGGAGCTACTACTCATCGCCTGACAGGAGCTACCGCCTTGTGCGAATCGTCACCAAAATTGTGTAATTTGGTGCTTTTGGTCGCTTGTCGCTTCGACTAGTCGTAGCCTCACGTTTTTTGACAATGCATCCTGAAGCCTTATCCGAAGTTTAATTAATTATATTGAAGCAAACCTTTATTTAGTTACAAGAGCGCAGAACCCTTTTCCTGTAGCTCTTGCTCGAATTCTTTTTTTGAAAATATTTTTCCCCAGAAAGCATTTTGCATCGTGATATTTTCATGAAATTTCACATTGTAAGCAGAATGACAGATTTGTCTCATAATTTCACGCATTTAGCGATAATGGCATGTAAAACTTCAAATACCTCGAAACCCCCCCCCCCCCCACACCAAATTTTTATGTTTCTATTCTAGTTTTACATGCTGCCAGCGTCTTTTTAGGTTCTACTGTTCGAATCTTTCGGATGTGTTATTTTGAAGGATTTGGATTAGCTACAACTTGAAAGTCGCAACCTGAAATGATAATATGATCAGCTATCTTGCTAAATTTGTTCTAAAAATTGATGGGTGATTTTGAAATACAAATTTTCTAACCCTACTGTTTACAAACTGTTGTGATAAAAGGTTGCATAAACATGTCTATTTGATGGGTCTTTCGCGGAGGTTGGGCTGGGAAATGATCATTTGTCATGGGGTTTTAATGGAAACAAATGACTGCCTAAAAAGATCATAACCCGTGGTGCCTTGTTACAATTAATTAAAGCTTAAAATCATAATCTTGAAGCAATTTCACGTGTGGTAATTATTGTGGTTGTCTATGCTATAATTGTATATAGTGCTAAGAAGCGTTAGGGCACTACCCAGAGACCAAAATCACCATTTAGTGTCCCCTCTGTTCAATGATTTTGTAAATGTATAAAATTCTGATTTTTATATTTTTGAATTAGAAATAAATTTTCTTTCTTTCTTTCACATGCCATTATCGCTAATTGCATAAAATTATGAGGACAATCTGTCATTTTGCTCACAATGTGAGTTTTCATGAAAAGTATTCACAATGACAATGAAAAATAAAAATAGAAAATTTTGAGGGGGGCGAGGTATTTGAAGAGCCCTGCGAAAAGTCAGTGTGGCATCATTATTCGTTAGAGTTGCTTCAGCTGGGCGCAAATGATCACAATCCAGAAGTAAGGATGACAAAAATGTATGCTGACTTAATTAAGGGAAAAACAGTGGTTCGCCGTTAATTTTTTCTGCTGTGATAGTGTTAAACATAAAATTTTCAAAAACGCCAATTTTCCACAGTTGACAAATCAAATGTCTTGAAAAGTGAAATAGATCTTCATTTTCTGATCTTCGATTTGATGGAACTCGCTGTTTTAGGTATCCTACTTTATAAAGCAATACAACTGTGTCAAATGCTACCTCTGTACTTCGACCGAAAAGATGAAAAGCTGTCCTCATTTAATAGCAGTGCTTCAAAACGCATATCCAGTTGAAGAGTACACAGTATCTGAAACAGCATTGACTCAGCTGCCGATAGACATTGTCAACAGGTACCGAAACTTCGACGCAACAGCTACTAAACTCGCGGTGCCTGCTATCGTGGCATTAAAGACACCTCCGCATGTAGAGGCTTCGTTGTTCTCAATTATGGACGAGGAAAGTTTACTGAAGAGGTATACAGTTGTAGTTCTGGCGAGTAAGAGGTCAATCTGCAGTTGTGCGGCTAAGGCAAGAGTGAATTGCTGGCATCGGTTGCTGGTGAACTTGACCTTGAATGATTCAGACAAAGTGTCCAAGTGTTGCTTCAACTTGACAGAAATGAAAACTTTCCTCGACAACTGTGAGTTTACACGGAGCTATGCTTGAAGCTGTGCTCTGCAAATGAACAAAAAAAATACTACGGAACGCGTCTTGGACATATTGATTTTAAAGGATTTTGGAAAAACCTTGGTTGGAATCTAGAAACATTCAACCTTTTGTTACCTAAAAAATATGAGCATTTGCTAGAATTTGCTGTGGCGGCTCGTTGTCAATCGGGATCCTAGGCTAGATTGTTGCTTAGAAATCCCAGCCCAAAAGTTTGACAGAAGTTCATCACACCGTTTTTTTTTCAAGAGGGTATTTTTTTAAAACCGTATTTTTCATGATCATAAGATAAGAGAAAATAGCACCGATAATGTTCTAGGTAAATTAAGCGTGAGCAAGAGTACTATCATGTCATATATGGACAAGGGAGGCACTCCGGTGGCGGAACTGGCCCAACTAGTGATGAATAGAATGTACTATGAGATTGACATGTTGCAGACAGAAGTGCAGCTACTAAGAGAGGCCAGGATACAAGTTAGTGTTTGTTTTGTAAATCCTAATACGCGCTGTGTGCAAACCTAGAAACTGACGAAATGGTGTTTATACTTGCAAAAGCTAGTGTATTGTAATCGGGAACAAGTCTTATTTTCCCGTTTCGAGAAAAAACTTTCAAATCTGGAAGAAACTAGGTCATATAACATCATTGATGCGGCAACTTGGTTGATAAATTTTACTACAAAAATTTTGAAAATTATTTTGAAAAAAAAAATCTATTTTTTTTTGTGTCTCGTTCTTTTTAATTGTTTTTTCTAAGAATTGAACTTGCTTTCAGGGGGTGGATTTAGGGAGGGGGGGGGGGGGCGGACGCCCCCCCCCCCCCCTCAGGGATTCGACCCCCTGCCGACCCAAAGGGTCCCCCTTTGATACTTTTTCAGAAATCCATTTTTGGCCGACCGACCCTAAAATTTTTCTAAAGGCGCCTTTGGCGCCAATATATACTAACTTTGAGGGGGAGCGCGCGTAAAAAAAACGCGATTTTTTTGTCAAAATTTTTCAAAAAGTGCCCAAAAACGGCTTTTTTGACTGTTTTTTCAAAAGTTTGCCCGCGGCGCAGAAAATTTCGCCAAAATAGGGGCAAAACAGTGCTTTGGGAGAGCTCGAAAAATCAATTTGGTCGACCTAGAAAAAAAAAGGTCGTCAAAATTTTCGAATTTTTTTTGAAAATCCGCCCCCTCCCCTCGAGAAAATCCTAGATCCGCCCCTGCTTGCTTTAATGATGAACCTGAACGAATTGCAGGCTGCTTTCAACTCGGTCTAGAGGTAACGCGGTGGCCTTTGTACTCGGCGGTTTGAGTCCCAGTCGGCCATTGTTTTTTTTTCAGTATACATGAAATTGATTTTTTCTCCGTGAAAGATTTCGTCTGTCTGCTTATTTTTTGTCGGGTTAATTTCTGATCCAAACAATGATAACTCAGCTGTTTGAATAAAAATTAATGAGTAAACATTTTTTTATCAGAAGTTAAGCTGACAAAAGAGAAGGAGGTTTTCTGTTTTTCTGTTTCAAACAGCTTAATTTTTTTCTGATTCAAACATTGTTAAGTATCATTGACAGTGGTTCTGCTATTTAGTCAATTCACCCACTCGGATTTTCAAGACGTTTTGTAATTTTTGTTTAAAATTGGTTTCGGCTTTCGTTTAAGAGTAAAAAAGTCTTGCCAGTAATTTTTTTTTTTTATCAGACCAAGTTTGGTCTGCATGATGATATGGAATTTGATGACACTAAATTCAGTTCTTTCCCGGTGAGGACATTAATTTTAGAACTAACCGTTCTATAACTAAATTTAGAGTCATCAAATTCAGTGTCATCAGGGACAGGACTGAATAAGTTTCGTGAAATTCGGTCGTGAAAATTGAAAAAAGTCAGACCAATTTTTCTTGTTACTGAGAAAACTTTTTTCGAATGCCGAATCCAGCCTGGAAAATAATGTTACTAAGATCTCTCATTGAGATTGTCAAAATCGGGTGGAACAATCAGTCTTGTAGGAACATTTTTCTGGCACACGATACTTGCGATATAGGCAAATTGTTCCAATAAAATCTTCACCATCATTTTTCAGGCGTGATTCGGCATTCGAAAAAAGCTTTCTCAGTAACGACAAAAATTGGACTGACTCCTTTCAATTTGCAGACCGAATTTCACGAAATTTATCAAGTCTTGATGACATTGAGTTTGATAACATTAAATTTAGTTCTAATACGTTTTTTTTGGTATTTTAGCTATGGTTACAATAATCCCATTTTATAATTTTTGAACCTAATTCAATGCTTATGTTTGATTTTGATATTTTTAAGTTTTGTTGCTTTAATCATTGTGGTCGGTACGTTCTGTGCTTCTTGCGCAGCAACCGGTCATACTTGTTATGATTGGTACTTATATGAAGTTATGGGGAAATATTTGGGGTTTCAGCGTTTCGGCGAGTATACGCTTGATCACGAGAGATTCGAAGAAGACGTCAATAATCAGCTAGGAATGCAATCAATGACTACTGATCAAACAGCAACTGAGCTACCAGGTGCAATTCCAGAATCCAGAATTTCTTACTCCACAGATGCTGTTAAAGAAAACACAAAACCCGAGCAATTGATTCTCCTTGACAGCGATGCAGAAGCTGACCAACCTGCAAAGGTCAATGACCTAGAAGGAACCAAGATTACAGAAATTGATGGAAGTGAAGAAGCAAATGAGTTGCATCACAAATCAGACAATTTAAAAGTTCAAGAAAAAAACGCGGTTCAAATTTCTCATGCAAACAAGCAGAATAATTTTCTTTTGGAAACTGTCGAAGAATTTCCAGAGAATGTTTTAGAAGTCGTAGTTTCAGAGGCAAATCAAGAAGTTGTCTATCAAGAGGATATTAATTCCTTTCAAGGAAATGTTGACAGTGATGCCGTTAGCCAATCGGAATCAAATGCGTCAGACACGCCACTGAGACGATCAAAACGAACAGCAACTTTGTCTTCAGTAGAATCCGGAGACTCGCCAACATCTAAGAAGCACCTCGGCTCAAATGAATCCGAGTTACTTTAAACTTCTCTGCCCTCTCAAATAAAAAATAACTTAACAAAAAAAACTAATTAAAGTAAGATTTATTTATGAAGTTTTAGATTTTAGTGTTGATGATTGTTAAGTTTTGTACTTAATTGGTAAGTCTTTGTGTTTTTGAAAATTTCCCAGCTTGGAAACTCCGTTGTTTGCGCTAATTGATTTAAATTTTACTTGAAAAGTTTTCCGGCCAGTGAGAACTCAATTCAGTATTTCCGCGTAATTACTTAATAAACTACTCCGACATTTTGTCGCTTAGCATTATCTTCTTCAATTTTCTCGATGATTTAAGATACTAACCAAGTAAATTGATATTTTTTTGTCATTATTTGATAAAAATAATATGGTCGAGAGTGTATTTTTTTCACTCAAATTTATTAATTCTAAGACTTCTTACTGGGCATTTTTGGCCTCTCCCGCATGAAATGATCGTTGTTTCCAAGTTAAGGCTTTTTGTGCCTTTTTGGCCGTTGCTTTTTTTCTTGTTGGGGGCGGATGAAAAGGAAGTATCTGCAGCTGAAATGAGACTCATAAAATTAAGTTCAAAAATGTAGCATAAGAATGTCTTTTAATTTACCATTTCAATTTTTGGCAAAAACATCTGACCAATTTTAAATTATTGATCTCCAAACATCGGCCGAAATTGCATAACAGAATCCATCCAAGAACTAAAAATACCTCAAAAAGAATGCAATTTTTTGTTATTGCGATCCTGGCTTTTTTATTTAGCTGCTTCCTAATGTCGCAGCAACAAAACCTGGAAATATTAGCTCGAAAACACTACCAGCAATGTGATTGCTTAATTAGTACTGGAGAACCTTTCGAAAGGTCTCTAGAAATTGGTCTCGGGGACTGTTGGTCGAAATGCTTCACAAACAACAACTGTTATGCGTTTGAGTTCAGTGATCATTCTAAAGCATGCAAATTGTTCGAAGCAATGGGTGTGGGCTACAACCCGTCTTCGGTTCAAAATGAAAATTGTATTAAATATCCACAAATAGGATTCTTTCAGTTCTATATAATTAAACGAAAGGAAAATGGACAAACTTTTGACTGCGAGGTCCTAAAGACGAATAACCCGCTGGCCAACGATAGCTACTATGAGATAAAAGTTAGAGGAATTCCCGTCACCGCATTTTGTCTCATGACCGATTCGCCCGCCAAAACTTACATCGATGTTGAAGGAGTTTCAGTTTGGGGAGGATCAATGTATTTAAGTAAGCACCCAGTTTTCAAGATCACCCGCACATGGACCCGAGTGCAAATTCGAGTAACAGAATGCATGGCGCTCGTTATTTGCGACGACCAGACGTTTTCCGAAATGCAGCCATATTATGACGGTGAAACGAGCCCAAGTTTCATCGTCTCGCAAAATTTTGGGCACGGCGGGAATTGCGCTTTAGATTCGGGGGAGTTCGAAGTAGATCTGACGCTAACTCCCTTCTTCATTCCGAATGGGACATATTTTATTCCGATTTCTGTTTAAAAGTTACCAGGTGATCTCCTAAGATACGATCAATTCTGATTAAAAGCAGTCAAATTTAATTGTACAACTCTTTTGAACTTCTAAATTTGCGAAAAAGGGTAATTTAATTGCTGAATACTGCTTTTTATAGGGAGGAGAACAAGGTACCTCAATGAAACTTTTTCGCTTTCAGGCATAATTAGAACTCAGAAAAATTAAAACGTCTTAACTCGAGAAAAATGGTCAGATTTTTTATTAAGACTTAACTACCGGTATGTTTCGATGGGAACACTATTTTTTGCAGTAGAGGGTACTAACATCTACAAAGATTTTAATTGGTTAAATTCTGTTTTAAATACTCAGTAGAAAATAGAAGTAGCCTGGAAATCGGAAATACGGAGATGTAATTTGGCCCAGGTATCGATTTTGGAGCGAAAGGATGGGACGCATACGAGAACTTCTTGCAGATCGGGACTGGGCGGCAAAGTGTAAGCTGGAGCGGATTTGGACACTGTTTGTACTCCATAATCTTCAATGTGAAAGGGGGTGTCCTTCTTCCATTAAGACTGCCTTTACTACTCACTACTCGATGAGAAATACAGTTCATGGTTTTTGATAACTATTTCTCTCCTATGGTACCTAAAATAGAGTTGCCTTCCCTCCTATAAAGAACTAATTCAACGGTAAACAGTCTTTAAATTTTGTATATTTTAGCGCGTTTCCCCATTTTGCAATCGGATGGAAATAGTTAGCATGATCTCAGTTCATAAATTCAATCATTAACCCGTTCAAACTGGTTGGCTGACTAAAAAACTCCAATTTTTGGAAATAATTTGGAAAATGTATATACACAACGTATTGATTGATAAATGTTCCCCATATATAGACCATTTCAAAGCTGTTTTATCATTCTCAAGGGTGACTTAAAAGCATGTTTTCAATAAAATTATTGGACTAATTAAATTAACAAATTTTGAATTTTGAGCATTTCATTCAATTTTAATTTCATTGCACACAAATTTTTACTTAGTTGTATTCACTAAATAAAACACATGTGTTCAGAAAGTTTCCTTGTCATAGTAAGAGTAATGAAGGTAGTGAAGACCCTTATATAGATCTTGCTGATTTTTTTTGTTCAGGAAAAAGTCTTAAAATACTGATGCACTAAGGTATATAAGAACTTTTTGAGTTCAACTGAAATTCATCTGCTGAGAATCACGTAAATAGCACTCTCCAAACACGAACGTGGAAATGGAGCAAGAATTCTTGAACGATTTCTAGCTTCGAAACGAGTTTAATTTTTAGATTTCCAGCTGAAATAAACCTTCATCTGTTGATCCAGTTTTCTCTTGTTGGGTAAATGTAATCAAAACAGTCCCAATTATAAACCGTTCTAGAAATTCAAAGAAGTTAAAGGGCATCTATTTTTTTCTTTGAAATTTAAAAATTGAGATTTTATTTGAAATTTAAAAATTGAGATTTTTTCCACAGTGTTTTTTTTTATTTTTACTCTTCTGCGTTCATTACTCTTTTCCATTATTCGATTGGCTTGAGGCTCCAAATTTCCAGGTCGCAAGTTGGAATCCGACTCAGCAAAATTTTTACTAATTTCTACTTTTCTGGTTTCACTTTATCGTGTTTGCGAGGCAGCGGGGGCCCATGTGTTGAAACAAAAGTGCAATCTTTTTCCTATAAAAATCAAGCAAATCGAATTAAAAGTTAGAAACAACGTGTTATGGTGATTGTTTTCAAATGTGTGTTTTGTCCGCTTTTTTCTCTAGTGTTTCGTACCAGATAAGGAGCAGTTTGTATTGCATCTCGGAATGTGTTCACTTCTTGAAACTATGTGTCTCGATTTGTTCACAAAGTTTTGCGATACAATATAAAGCTGTTGCTTATCTACTGAATCTATTATTCCAAATATTCAAAAGACCCAAAATAAAAATCTCGTAATTCCCAAGTATTTTCTTCTTGATTTCTGATTGGTTGAAATTTAAGCCAACGATTGATTTTTTCATAATCTGTTTTTGGCTCCAATTAACTGTTTTCAGGAGTGTGTAAAATAACGAGATTGATTGGTCAAATTTTCGAACAGCCAGCTGTTGAAAACTTTTAAACTTTTGAATCTAAGCAGGGAAAGAAAATGATCAAAAATTTAATCTATGAATGTGATTAACCGCAAAGGAAAGCATAAAGTGGAAAAATTAATAAATACTATAGACGTATGGCAAATATTTTTCAAAACTCCATCAACAAAAAGGAAAATTTCAGCCACACATATGTCAATAGGCGGTCTGCATGCTTTACCTAATGGTGTCAGAAAACTCGCAAAAATAAGGTGTTAATTGATCCGATATCTTTCACTTTCATTTTAAAGCAGCTTATAAAATTCAAAAATTGATTGAATTCAACCTCAGCTTTCGAGACAAAGAATTATGATTTCTAGCTTACGTTAGAGGGGAGAAGCAAAATCATGGAACATGAAATGCAATTGATACTCACTTCGCAGCTGATGAAAAATGACAAATTGAGCTCATTCAAACCAAACAAAATGAGTTTAGGTCGTATTACTGCAGATATTGCTGTAACAAATGAGAAAATTTGAGCTCATTTTAAAGGCAGACTTTGGGAATTTTTCGAAAAGTAACAGCCAAATTCCGAAAAAAAATATCTGATCCTTGGGTGCCAGGAAAGATCGTATTATCAACAACGATTATGATAGTGCTTAGGATGAGGATGATGATGGTGCTATAACGCACAAAAACTAAAAAAGTCTTGCAAAATCGGGATTTTTTTTTGAAACAAGTAAACGAGCTATTTTGAGTCAAAATTCATAACAGACTACTGCTTCTAGTATACTCATTCTCAATTAATCGTTCAGCAAGACCACTTTTAACACCGGGCATTCGCTTAACCACTCGGTGGTTTCAATTTTGGCAAATTTTATCTTTTAAAATCAAGTTTTTTAAATGACTCTTTACAACAGTCAAAATGCATAATATCTCCTCAATCCCTGCAACCCATTTGATTTTGAAAATTAGATGCAGTCTTTTGGTTTCGAAAATTAGATTTAGCTTTTCAAAAGTAGCTTGGATTCAATATTGCTCAGAAAACCAACACTTATTGTTCTCTCTAAAGTGTCTGTTTTTCCATTCGATTTAGACTTCCACAATAAATGGCAGGGGTTAGCATGTGGTTATACATTAGTTAGTACTAAGTTTTGTTTTGGTTATTAAAAATTCATCAACAGAACTCCGAAATTGAGAAAAACTGGTCTGAAATTATTTGAAGCTTTCGACAAATGTTAAAAAATGATCAGAGGTTGACCTAAAAATTTAGTCTAATACAGTTTTAAGGTTATTTTAAAGTATATAACTGCTCGTTGTTGCATTTTTCTCACTAATTTTATCTTTATTCTTGTAAAAAATTTGAACAGAAGAAAAATTTTTAAAATTGCGAAGACGTTTTAAAAGGTATTTCAGTTTTCTTTTGCCATGAAAGCAGAAAAGGTTTTGCTATTGGGTACTGGATTTTTTCCCGTAATTAATTTTGTTCACAGGAATCATCTCCTGGGATGATTCATCTCCTGGTCCCCTGTTGGAACTACTCCAACAAATTTTTTGAGCATAATAGCATTTTAAATATTGGTCCAATTAGATTTTCGCTATGAAAGTTGCCTTAAAAAATTTTTTTAAACTTTTTTTCGGCCTAATAGGTTTCGATGTTTTAGTTTCAAGTCTTTACATTTCAGA